GGATGCAAAACAAACTGCACTGACTTGGGACTATTTTATTATTGGCATTCAAATAATAATGTGATACAGTTTGAGAAAAGAATAAGAAAATGAATTAGATGCTACATTTCTGTTATTTAGTTAGTAAGATAGTAGGTGCTTTTACCCAATCAAGAACTCTGTAAAAATGAATGGTATGGTAGTAACAATGCCCATAAATGCTAGATGTGGAATTAACAAGGATAACTAAATATACATAAGAAATAGGTTCGAAATCAGCTGGGTAAAATGGGAAAAACGGAAGCTGCAACTGGAAGGCAGCAAAAACAGAAAAGGCGCCGGAACAGCGACAGTATAGTCGCGACGTCAGCGCCGGAGCTGATCAGATGCAGACGCGACTTCGTCTTCGTCTGGGTAACGGGAAATAGGTTCGAAATCAGCTGGGTAACCTGCAACGCTCCAGAAACGAAGAAGAACTGAGCGCCTAAGAGTCGCCGGAACTGTGCAGGCACGGTAGCGCCGTCGTCGGGAAGGACGTCGCCGGCACCTAGGGTTACTGTGGCTCTGATACCATTTAGCGAGTTGGGGGAAATTTTGTATATTTCTCTATATGGAAAGTGTACAAAGAAATGTATACATACAAGGTAAAAAAGGAAATTGCACTTTAGTCCCTAACAATCACAAGAAGTACAAGTAGGTAACAAATATTTATTTCAACTAATGTGAATATCCTTATCTTGTCGTGGGGATCTTTTGCATGTAGAGGACCATTTTGTTTAAATAACATGAATTTCTGACAAGTTCTTTTTAAACTAATAAAAATTAAACCTATCAACAATGTGATCTTTCTTTCTCTAAAATGTTCTCATATCTATAGGATCATTTCATTAAATGAGACACTGTTAATTTCAGTTACAAATCAACTCGACGTAGTGAGATTATAGATGTGTCCTATTTGTTGACTGCCCTTGAATTATTTCTTTCAAACTTTCTATAGTCGAAAGGGTTGTCAATCTTTCTTTTATGAGGTTTCTTTTCTTGCAAGTCATTCTTCCAAGTTCTTGTTGATTCCTATTTTTAACTCATTGAATTACACTTGTAAATCTTTGATCCTATAATGATTAAAGCATATCTATGGCTGGTCTTTCGTAGAAAAATAGTACTTGTGAAATTGTTAAGAAGAAACGACATTGTTTCTATTTCTCACCTGGAATTCATGTGATGTGCTGAAAGAACCTGGGATGTATTGTGATGTTGCAAGATGGATTTTAGTGTACGCTTTAGGAAGCTAGTTATATTTGGTTTTTCTGAGTCATTTCATTTATGATATAAAAGAAAAATGCAAATGTATGTGTATGCAAGTGTAATTTGAACATATTGGTTTCATTTGTTGCAGAATGAAAGCTGCTCTCTTGGAGCATTTTAGTGGCATAAACAATGTGAAACTCTGTACATGCTTTGAGGACATTTTAAAGAAGGATCCAACATGCAGCAACTCGTTGGCTAGACTTGTTGTCATGCATCAACAAGGTATGTGATTAGTGTCTTTTCAGAAGGTTTCAAGCTGTTTGTTTCGTTATCTAATCACCTCTTAATAATATCGTTTTTGAATAGTTCTGGCATCATTTGTTGTGTCATTTTTTTTAAACATGAGATTCTATTACTTGCTCATTTCTGTATACTCTTTTACTCCTTTTTGCTATTACACTTTAATGTTCATTCTCCCCCCTCCCACAATCACGCACAGACAAACCCGCCCACCATTCTGAAATTGTTTTCATATATTGGGAATTAATGGATGGAAATCCTCTTCAAAGATCAAGTGATGTTTCTTTTTTGGTCAGTTTGTAACTTTGTTGAGGG